TCTTCACTTCTCATAGTGTCGCTTCCCCAATGAATTAAGTCTCGCATTTTGTGTGATAAAAAACAAAATATTTGCTTTCTCGTTGGATTTTTATATTCCGCATATAATACCTTTCGTCAACGCTAAACATACATACATACATACATACATACATACATACAAGCATACTAATTGAACTACTACAGCAAATTAATTAATTTCTCAAACTTAATGCACAGAAGTGCCTACTTCTACTAATACAAATATAGGTATGTACTTCTGAAGAAAAATTGCGAGAATTGCGCACACGCTGAGGAATTTGCATGATGTTGACAAAGTTTATTTCCATATAAATATTAGATCATAATATCTACTTGTGTGTACCTCATTTAAATGACTTCTATGAATGTGTAACAACTTAGCTAATGCCTAGAAGGGCGAATGATAAAATAGCATGCTCCACAAACCCAGTGTCTGAGCGCAGTTAGATCAGTAAATAAACAATGAAAACAAAGGATTTGAGTTCGTAAAAAATTAACGAAGAAAATAAACAAATAATAAATAAATGAAAATATTTGAACTTTGCTTTAACTAAGAAATGCCGCGAGACATTGATTTCATAACGCTTGAAAGCGGCAAATTGACATACAGCAGCAAGGTAAGCACGATTATGTGCGAAAGTCATAACGAAAATTGCCCGAAAATTGCGGTGAATTGAAACCCAACATTTATGGACTGGTTGCGAAAAGCGAATTTAGCGTTGAGATGGGCAACTAATTAGTGACACCTTGTAGCTTCTTATCATTAATCATATTGAGAGTGCACTTGAGCAGGCGTTGTTGTTTTGCCTTTGATATTCGAAACCAAAAATAAGGTATACAAAAAATGAAAAAATTAAAAAAAATAGAAAAGAGTAACAAAAATAAAAAATATAATAAAAAAAATAATAAAAGTAGAAAAATACAAAAACAAGAAATAAAAATATAAGCGATAAAAGACAATAAAAAAACTTAAAAATTTAAACTTAAAATATATAAAAATAAACAAAGAAAAAAATAAAAAATAATAATTGGAAAAGACATAAAAAATAAAAATCATAAAAATACAAAAACCAAAAAAAAAAATAACAAAATCAAATAAATTAGTTACAAAAACACGCTACCAAACTATTGCGCCCAGCGAAAGCTGGCTTAATTAATTTTCTATTATTGACGCTCGCAGTTGTAATAGCCAGATAAAACTGTTACAAATCACCTAATAGCAATAAATACAAAAAAAAAAAAAACAAAACCAACAACTGCATGTAACATATTTGTGCGCACAAAAAAGGAGATTAATTACTTCAATCAGTCTCGAGGCGAAGTACGATAAATTATTACTTTTTAGACAAACATATATTAAGTATTAGGGTGGTTAAAAAAACCGAAACTTTTTTTCACTTTATACTCTGCTCTCCTTATTACTAGGAATTAATATTATTATATTCAGTGTCTTAATATTATTTTCATTTCCTATTTTTTCAAATTCTTAAAAAGAAAATTAAGAATAATAAAAAAAATTTAAGAATAATATGAATATTTTCGATTATATTCTTAATATTATTTTCAATTTCATATTTTTTCTTACCCTAAAAGGAAAATTTAAAAATTTGTTTTACCCACCCTATCTTCGATTTTTTTCATTTTCTCTTTCACAATTTCTTTAAAAAATTCAATCAAATAGTTGCATATAAATAGTTACATTTGCGAAATATTGAGAAAATAAAGGAACTACACGCCACAAGAGATAAATGAAATTTATCAAACAAAAACACACCAACAAGCGCAATCAAACAAAAACTGAACAATATAAGTTTGCAAGCGAAAAATAATCAAAAAAATGAAACGAAATCAAAACAATTCAAGTGATAGCGATATTATGAATTTAACAAACGAAAAGTTAGTAAACAAAAACAACTAACCAAAAGCTTTGTGACTGAAAACACAGAAAAACAGCAATATGTAATAAAAATGACAGCAACAACAAGAGGAAACAACACCAAATAGCTTGGCTAAGATAAAGATTAGAAAACAGAAACGCAGTTGGAAATTAAATTGGTTGTAATGAAGGTGTTCGCTTGAAAAAAGAAATTTTGACAGACAAACTAGATTGACTTTGGTGGCAGCAAATATTGAAGCAGTGCAAGTGTTGAAGATTTT